CGCGGCGGCGAGGCTGCAACAACATACCTGGTTTTCGGCTTGTGACATCATTCGCCGGAGCGACGAGGGAGCGCTTCTTCGGGCGCGAAATAAAATCTAGGACGGTTGCGATCGGCCACGCGAATTCCTCTTAAACGGCATACGTGTGTGTGCCTTAACCTTTCTCGCGAGAGAGAGAGAGAAACGTTTTTTCTGCGAGCGCGGCGAACCTCGTGAAGAACGCGCATTTATTATTTTGCATCGCTCTGAAATATTTAACCCCAGCCACTCGTTCTCCCCGAGTCGCGCTCACGACTCCGATCATTTCTTAATTCGACGTCTAACCTTCCGATCTACTTGAGCGCACATTTACTCGTGAAATGTTCATCGTCCCGATTAAAATGGCAGGCTCTTCCGACTCCGCGATAACTTTACACAGGTCGATGCGTGCCAATAATTCAAGGGATGAATTGAGAATGAAACACAAAAAGATAATGGTGCGCGAACAGCGTGTGTCGTGCGTGGCAGTAACGCGCAAGAGGCGGAAATCGAGGTTGAAAAATAAAAAATGCCGCTGCACGAACAATGTGTCATGCGTGTTAATAATTGAAGAGATAAATTGAGTGCGAAAAGCGAAAAATAATGCACGAACACGGGTCATTCAGGCTTCAGTTTGTGAATTGTCACGAATTAAGGGAAATCCTTGAAATATTTGTCGTTCGGGGGCTGGTACGCTGCGCACCAATGATGTGTTGGTTTTGCAACCAAAAATAATGCGATGGATTTCAAACCGTTCGAATTATAACATTTGGTAACATCTGGTATTTTCTAAAGAGCGCGAAGTGAAATATTGAGAGTGAAATATGAGCATTTTTAACTTTCCATGATTCCTATGATTTATTACGAATCGGAAAATAAAGCTGGAAATTGGAAAGACCATTTCTGACGTGCAATCGTAAAATGAATTTAAACAAGAGCCAATATTAAATGGCATTCTAAAGATTCGAAAGCGGGGCGCCGAGTCGTTCGACCATCGATTATGTAAACTCATCAAAATTCGTTTGCCTCGATTACCGATTACATTAAATTTGCACAACTCTAAAACTGCGCCTTAGCTCTCCCTTGTTTAAATTTCATTCACGATCGTGAAAAAGTAATAGAGCAAATTACCGGCGTCGTTAGTCGTGGGAAGCGATAATGCCGCTGCTGGCGGATACACTTTGACGAACTGTGTTTGTATAAGATTTCTCCCGCTTTCTCCCCTACGTACGCCTCTTGCGCTGCGTGTACTTAAGAATCGCGCGGTATCGGAACGGATGCAGAATTATTATGCTCCTTTGTCCGATCGTACGAGCGAATTTTCATAACCCGATGTAGGTCGAACGGAATCGATTCAACTTCTGAACGAAGGGCTAATATTCATAGCCGCCGTTGCTGCATTGTTCGCGATATAGATGTAATGAAAAATCGCGATTTTCGCTGATGCGCACAGTCGCTCTCTCCCGGTACTTGAGCGCAGCGTCAGGCAGAATGAATGGCCAGGTGAAAACGAGGGAAAAAAAGAGCGTGCAAACGCGCCCTAACAACGCGCTTGCATCGTGTATCTCGTTCCACTCAACCGCGCGTACTCGCGCGCCGTGATACGTGTTGTTTCACCGCGAGCAGCGATCGGTGGAATTAATCTTCTCGATGGACCAATAATTGGCTGCGAACGCGCGCATAAGTCTGTCGTGCTGAAAGTCGTGCCCGCCAGCGCTAACCCTCGTGAGTCCGCTCGTTGTTGAAACTTGCCGTAAAATACGAAGCGAGCGTAAAACTCGATAAAAATGTAGCCGTTAATACGCGGAGCTTCGAGAGCAGTATCGAGTGAAGTATTTAATGGATCTCCGACGCGAAAGAACTGGGCTAACGGAGGACGACAGAGAGAGATGTTGTTCTCTCTCTCTCTCTCTCTCTCTACTCTAATCTCTCTCCGTCTGTCTCTGCCTCTCTCCTCGGAGATATCTTGAGGGAACGAACATCATCGGGCGTCGTAGTGGGAAGCGATAATGCTTGCTGGCGGACTAACGCGGAAATGCACGTATCTGTCGCGGTGCTGTACAGATGTGTTGCTCCCACAACTAGGGCGGAACAAGATAATGTACGAAGTGTTAATTTGAATGTTCGCGAGAGGACGGATCGGTTCTCGTGGCTTCTAGTGACGCGTTCGATGGAGCCGGGAGTGATAATAAATTCGATTCGAGCGACGTCAACGATTTCAGGTTGCGCCAAATGATTTCGTGGGCGGGGCGCGCCCGGGAAACAGAGGGAGAGAGAGAGAGAACGACTTCCAATTCAATTGTCGAGGGTCTCGCAAGTGACTCCTCTCAATCGAGATATTTTATATATGTGTATACACACACAATCGTGCTTACTGCATTTTAACCGAATTGAGCGACAGTCGTTTATCGAACTTCCCGGCGCAACATAATTAATTTGACCGGGGATGAATGATTATTAACGTCAAGCGGATCGATTGCGTCGTTGCGCGGCACTTTCGCCGGATCTGTTTTCCGCGCGAAGCGGGCGAAAAATGCGCGAGAACCAAACTCGGATGCATTCGGAGAGAACGAGGCTGGGGAAAATATACACACGCATATCCGCGCGAGCGATTTATGATCCGAAGATATCCACCAGCCTAGCTCGCCGCCCGCTCATTCTGTCGCGCGTTATTTGTTTCGTCATTTTACCGTATTTCATAGCGACCGGGCTCGAGGGTGAGCCGTTTGCGAGCCTGGCTGAATTTCATGCAATTCCGGCGGTATCGCTTTTACGCGGCGGCACAAATTTACTTAAAATTCGGGACAGAGCCCGCATTAAGTGCGGCCAAACCGCATTGTGGCCGGACCGCACAAGCAGCAGGAATGACAACGTTTCGTCGCCGTCACGTATTGTGGTCGGGAAGCATTAACAAAGAGTGACACGGAACGTTTTCGTCAGTGTTCAAAAGTATCGCCGATATAACTGGTTAAAACGGAGGATCGCGTTTGACCCCATTTCCCCTTTTCTCACTCTCTCTCTCTCTCTCTCTCTCTCTTTCTCTCTCTCTCTCTCTCTTCTTCCCTTCTGTGCATCTACGTGTTTCAACGAAAAAGGTGAACTTTTCCACGGTGTTTTTCACATTTGAATTAATCGGAATTATTCAAACTTACGGGCGAATATTTCTCCCCCCCTCCCCCCAACCGTGCCGTTGGTATCCGAGGGAACGTTTGCTCTACGGAGGAGTCTCTTTGCATACGTAAAACCCGTATTTTCTTGTACGCGCTTTTCTTTTTGCTTTTGTGCATTAATTTACAAAGACTTTCTGACGTCACATTAGCAACGCCTACTTTGCGTAACTTATGCATAGTTCCAAGATAGCGTAAGCAGTTAGTTCCAACTTGTATTCTTAACTCATCGGTGTTGGTAAGGATGCTACCTCGTTGCGAACAACATGTGTATATATATATATATATATATATATATATATATATATATAGAGAGAGAGAGAGAGAGAGAGAGAGATTCTTACAACGAGGTTCCCGCCTTGAGGTATATAATTTCAAATTCAGTTAGCATTCGACAGTCGCGAATTTCGTTAAGACCGCTCCAGTTATGCAAGTTATAAATTTTTCCCGCAGAAATATATTTCGTTTCATTACGTCGTTTTACACTCGTAAATGTGTGTCTCCCCTCTCCTTCTCTCTCTTTATTTCTCTCTCTCCGTGATTCACTCGCTGCGAGAGTCAAATCACGCAGAAATGCGTATCGAGGGAACGCTTGATATTTTAAATCGCGCACATGTAAAACGCACATTCAGGAGGGAATTCGCACGCGCCGAAAACAGAAGCGGCTAAATTGCTAGCTGAAATAATTATTGCGAGTGCAATATTTAGAACACGCCATTTAACCGGTGCATCGTTCATCTTAAATATTATAAATTCAACGTTTTCTTGATGTTTCTCCTAGTGAATATTATTAGATCGCCTTTTCATTGATCGCGCGAGATATTTCCATCAAATTCTGATGGAAACATCGTTCAACGGGCGGCACGTGTGAAAATGAACGTGTGGGCCTCTCGGATCGCGCAATTACCATTAAAGGTATTTTCTCCGGACATACGATGTGCATTAATTGATTAGACTATCCATCTAGTAAACGTGCGTGACACAATGCAGATCCGTCGCATTAATTCTTGTTACTCATTCCGCCAATTCATACCAGTGATATCAATTCTGGGTATTCCCGGTATCTCGATTACTACTCGGCTACCTGAGTATCCAATCAACCAACCAACACAGTAACATAACATCAATTATAATTTCCCACACTCTCGGTGTGTAATATAACGCATGTGTTGTGTTACAATTATAATATTGAATGGGAAATTATAACATTGATGTTATGTTACTGTTAGTTCGCTGGGTTATTATTACGTCTTTTTATTTATTCATCCTATGCATAAAAGTATTAGGTAAAGTCTACGAAAAGGAGATACTTTATGAAATATTCAGCTTTTATACTAGAGCACGCCAAAATAGATTAAGAAACGTCCGACAAAGAAGTCACCTTGCATTGATTTCACCTTTAATACTTTTACACGTGGAAATTAACGTGGAGAATGTTTGTACAAACAGAGAATATGGAATATTTATTGAAATGTTTTTTATTATCCGCTGACCTGAGCAATATCCGCGAGTTTATTATCCTGGTATAAAAATATCCGGTTTGTACCTACAATATTAGTTCGCGCAAATATCCAACGAATTGGGTTTATACACATCGCCGCCGGCAATGAGTGCACCAAACGCGTACGTTAAACGACCACTCGATTCGCACCGTCTAATTTTGTTCATGTGTGAAATAGCGTCACGTGTTAAACGCGTTATTCCCTTAGACCGTGCGAGAGACCGCGGGACGATCCGCGCAAGTGTGCCTATCGGCCGCGCAATATCCTAAATGGGGCGATATCATCATCCCACCGTTCTTTCTTTATGTTACAGCGACTGCAACGAGATTGAGGCACTCGAGACACCTGGACGTGAGATCGCAGTTCCCGGACGAGGAGGAATTACCGGTGAGTGCTTCTCGATTCGTTCTTGATTCGATTTCTCATCCTCCACCCACCATTGCGCCGCACCGCGCACCGTCCCACTTACACTCCCCTCCTTCTGTCTCAGACATCAAGCCCGATTCCTTTTACCACCCCTGGTCTACGAGGATCCCGGGATGATCCTCGTATAAACCACCTTTCTAGCACGTGGATAATGGATTTGTCTCTCCTCCTCTCCCTCCTTCTTTCGCCCACGTCGCCGATCTGTGTGAACAGTTAAATATTTACCGCGCACGTCAGCAGCCCGGGGTCTCTACGTGACATCCACGAGCGGGCCTGAATTTGTCGCCGCTCGTTGCGAATGGAGGACGGCAGGAGCGACGAAGGACCAAAAATATCGCCACGTGCCTTGCCTCACCTTACCTCCACCTTCACCGTGATCCTGTAATCTTTTCAATCGAATCTCCGACTCTACTGTGCGGCGTTAACCGCTTTCCCGCCTTTCCAGCAACCACTACACCCCCGCGAGCTTATCAGCGCGTATCTCCTCGTAACGCGAGACAAACGCTAGTGATGTGAAATAAATTTCCTCCATCGCCGGGATTCTTTCCCTCTCTTTCTTATCCTTTTCCGTGTTTTTTTACAGCTACTAACGGGCCGTACAACGAAACATTACATTAATCTTACTTCCGCTTAGCGAGTGAGCGAGCATTTCGCACAGCGTGTGTCGTATTTCAAAGTAATTTCGCCGAGAGTTAACCGCGAATATAAGCGACTTCCGGCGGGGCCTCCGCCACGTATTTTTCACCCTCTTCCCTCTCTTCTATCATTTTTTCTTGAGTCGCACGTTGAAACATGCACCACAGACGAAACGACCTTCTGACCCCAGGTATAACGCCGCAGTGACGTGTTCAGGGCGCGCTCGCGCGACGACCGTCTTGCATAAATAATTCCTCTCGTAGACGAGCGAAATCACTCGTGATTCGATGAATAGGTCGGGCGCCGTGCGACAACTCGCGCCATACGTTCTGAACGGCGAGACACTTCACGTGCGAGAAGTGCTTCGTCAGCGGCCCCTGAGACTCGCTTACGAATCGCTCGTAAATCGTTGACGTTACGCCGAAGTTCGCTCGCGGCGGAACGTGGGATATTTAGGAACGCGAATTGCGCACGGGAGCGACCGGGGGTGGCGCGGGAACTTGTGTACACATAGAGAGGCGATTTCCCGTACGCATTCCGCGACATTCGTCAGTCGACGGCCGAGACTCCGGCAAGTGGCGTTCGAATGAGACTTCGACGTGCCGTTTTGTCGAGATCTATAATCGAACGGCGAAGTTATGTGGGACTTAAGGAGGTTCTCTAGCACTAAGTGCGGCATTCCCAGCGCGTCAAGGGGGCTTCTCATAAATTTACTATTTATCCAGCAAAATTCCCTCTCTATACATTTATCTCACCCAGCCAAATAACAAATGCTAATTTGAAAGCGAAGCTGAGCTAAATATACATGCACAATGTCACAGATACGCACTTATTACTTTTGATTTTTTTTTTTATTAATATTATATTTATGCATCGGTTGGACTAATGGAGATACACAGATGATAGAAAGAAGTATGTAAGTGTTTAAATATATATTCACATATACGTATCTCAAGTGTCAAAATAATGTCAGAAGTTCGACTCGGATATTTTTGACGTTTCAATAAGCTAATCCGCGGCCGATCTTCGCAGCTACGACGGATGAAACGCTTATCATTAATTGAATGTAATTCATCCCGCTGCGTCGTGTACGGCCGGGGCCGTCGCGCGAATTTTTCACGGGGGATCCGTGCGCTGAAAGCGGCATAATCGGCGGAAATATGCAAATATACAATCGCGTTTAATTTATCCGTATCAATAGTGCAGTGTCAGTCCGCGCATCGGGCGGAATTGCGCGCGTGTATAAGCGAAATTCGCGCTATAAATTCGTTTCGTCGAGTTAAGCGCGTGATAAAATTTACTTAGCCGCTACCGAACGCGCCTCGTTATTTATTTACGGACGCTCAATTGAGCTCTCCCTTTCCTTTCCGCCTCCGCACGACCCTTTAATTTTCAATATAAAATACCTCCCGCTAACTCACTCCCAGGATGAAATTCTTTCCGGGCAGGGGAAAAAAAAAATCAAACGCGAAGTACTTGAAAAATAATGAGAGTTCGCCCGGCAGTGTACACCCCTGCTCTTCTTGCGATCGTGTAATGAAACGCAGCTCCCTTATAAACGTTGCATTAATGGAGTAACGTTTAATGCTCGGTTCTTTTAAGAAGGAGGCTTCGAATTTCATCGTTCTCCCGTCGCTTCTTGAAAGACCGTTGAATTAGCGGACGATGGTAGCGCGATGAGGCTCGTTAGTCTCTACTTCTCTCTCGCCCGCTCGCTCGCGTATTAATTGTTCCGCAAAGAAGACGTCGTCGGACGGCCGGGCCCGACAGCTTTTTCGCTTTAATATTAATTAAGGACCGAGCGCGTCTTCTGTAATCGCTGTTGGTGTGTGTGCACGCGCGCATGTGTGCTCCCGCGGTGCCCCAATATCCGAAGGCACGAGGAGGGGCGCGCTCTTAGAGACCGGGGGTCGTTTGCTCGGCTACCACGTGTAAAGATGTCGGTTTCTTCGCTCGATTTACGACACCGCTGCGAATTCGCCCGGGGTATCATAGCCCAATGTATACCGTCTACGTTAAACAGGACTCTCACGATATAATTCATGCAATCGCGCGCACATTCGTCTCGTTATTCCCTTCTCTCTCTATATGTATCTCTCACCGGAGGTAACGGGTTAGCGACGCGGAATTTGCGATAACCCACTCTCTATGTGGTGTTGTAATACACCGTGGGGTGTTCTCGTTTCCTTCGCCTCTCTTTTTTTCCCCTCTTCCTTTCCTTCTTTCCTCCTCTTTTCCTTCCCTCTCTCTTTTTATTTCCTTTTCCCTATCTCTCTCCCCCCTATCTCTCTCTTTCGTTATCGCGATCGCACACTGCGACGGTAGCAATTACGCATTCCAATTGACGAGATCTTCTTAAAGCCGGTGCACGAATCAGCTGCGGATAGCATAACGGGGTTAATATGCTAAAACGCGGTTAACTTGTTTATCGTTAATGAGGCTGGAAAGTACGGGAGCGGGCGCGGCGGCGCACCGCGCCGCGAGTACTATATCGAGGTAGCGCATGACCCAGCAAAGTGCTGCGCGAAATTCTAAGCGGTCTGAGGGTTCGCCCGGTGAATGCCGAGGCGTGTCCCTCGCCCCTCGTGTGAGCAAACAGCACGGGAGCGAGAACACACGCGGATTATATTTCTTACCGAAAGTGTTGTTTACCCGGGGATATCGTTATCCCCCGGTGGGATAGAAAATAGTAATGAATATTAATGTCGCGACCATTTAATTACATTGGAGATAACGGTCTAAGTATGAGCGCGTCTAGGGAGGTGCGCGGGGGAGACTCTCGCGTTATTGTGTTATCCGTATGGTTAAATTATCATCATCCGAATTGATTTTTGCGCCCGGTGGCATTTTCTCCGCGCGGGCGCGAGACCTCGCGCGCTACCGCGTTCGATACGCACCTCCTTCGCCTTTCCCGTCCCGGGCATCGGATTCACCGCGGATCTAAGAAGCCGGTATTCATAGCCGGATCTTGAGCAGCGTGTATCCGAACTCTACCGACAAATTTCACGTTGAGAAATAAGTAAAAATGTTCCAGTAAATATGTATCTGCAGAAGCTTGGTTTTCGAGATACAGCCTTCATAAAATGGCAAAATATGAAAGATAATGTGTCGCGATAAGTGGGTTAAGAATGCCAATACTTTTTTTATCTGTATACTTTTTTATCTATACTCATTTTATCTTTATTATTTTTTATCTATACTCATTTTATCTATACACATTATATCTACTTTTATTTTTGAAGATAATACTTGTCGGCCTGGATATTTCTGAATATGCACTTGCAAGATTCGAACGTGTATGCGCGTTGTTAGAAGATTTTTAACTTTAAATTGAGTTCAAGTAATACTCGCATCAGTATGAATCCAATCAAATCAAGACTAAAAGTTTTTCTAAGAAGATTATGACATCCTTGCTTATATATATGAGAATATCCACTCTTCATTTAAGACTAATTCTTTTCCACGTAGTCACTTATTTGTAAAACACAACTTAATGAATAAAATGTATATTTTCTAAACTGAAATTGCGGCAGCTATATCGCAGAAACTAAGCGTTTGAGAACATATGTTTTTTTTTTTTATTAATCTTATGTAGAATCTATCACGTGAGTTTGCCGGTGAAGTTCAGATACATCCTGTATTTAAGATCGTTCGAAGTTTACCTTCAGATGCTTTGTAGCCGACGAAACGCTACGGTATCTGAGGACGATCTTACGTATAAGTTTATGTATAAGACCGGCCCAGGTATATGTTATTAAATATACGTTTGAACGTGTTGAACTAACACGTGCGACTGAAACGGCGGGAAAGCGTGTAAAAAGAGCTACACACTTATACGAGTGACGGCAACACACTTGGACTTGCAGCGTTCTCGAGCGGGGAATCAAGTTTCGCGTGTCGGTCGTCGCCGTTGTCGTCATTGTGCGGATGTCTCGCGGTTACCCCTCGCGCGGACACGAGAGTTGAACGCGACTCGATCGCTCGTACGTTACACGTATTATACGCTAAACGCCACCCGCGATCGATGCTAATCGCGACGAAACGGTAACACACGGAACGTACGAGCGCGGTCGGTGCCATTATTTATGAGAGTATAGCCCTCTCTCTCACCAAGACGCAACAGACCGCGTAACGTGGCGCAAAGCCGCGGAACTTGGCTAACCTTGCCACATGTTCTAGATCAGCAATGTGCAGAATTATTACCGCGAGCGCTCGTAATAGCACGGCGCCCCCCTTTTTTTTCCCATCGCTCGCTCACCCTCTCCTTCTCTCTCTCTTCTCCTTTGTATCCGCGACCACTCTTCTCCCACGAGTCGTTGGATCTTTTATGAGGAAACGCGACGTAATAGACCGCCGGAGTCCAGAGCCATGATTAATGGCGCTTGGTTTATGAGGGGCGCTTTGATTTATCGAGCGTCTCGCTCTAAACTCTTCCCTGTGCGCGCGCGAGCGCGGGCGCCAAGTTTACCGATTAATCCCCGGCACATCTTTCGCCCGCTCACTCCTCCCGAGTCCAAATCCGAGTAACATCCGCGCTAATAGCCGTCCGTTTCTCTTACGCTTTCAGCTCAATGAGAACTACAACCACAAACCGGTGTTCGTCAATTGTGCGAATTACGCGCCAATGGTTGATGAGGAAATGCCGCGCTTCTCCTATGTGTTCCAGGTGCACGCCGAAGACAAGGATCCGCCGGAGGATGGAGGTATCGTATCGCGATGCATATCGAATATCGTTATACATATGTAATCGCTACACTGAAAGGAAAAATTGTCTAGAATATAAGACATTATTTTGCGGGTACTAATGACGTATTTGCATACTTAAATTTAAATTCTCTTATTCAAATAGAATAAATAATTGCTTTCCCGTGAGAAAAGCTACAGATTTAAGAACGTGTATGTTTTCTTAAATGATTTGAAAAGAAGAAAAAGTTTCAAAAAATATTTTCTCAGTGTAAAAATATCTGTGTCTTCATATAGGCAAATTTATTTATTGGTACCCACCGAATGAATATTTTTTTATTTCTTTCATATTCTTTCATTTAATATAAGAAGTAATTTTACTCAATAAGAGCAGACCAGGAAAATATATTGAAAGAAATCCCACTAAAATTATAGTCATTTTCATTCATTCACTTTCGGCCGCATCTATATTTTCTTTTGATGTGTCTTAACCCAAGAAATAGCAGCAGAAATTTGCATGTAAGGTTATTCATCATTGACAATATAGCAATATTTGCTAGAAAAATAGTTCTCCTTAATATCATTCTTTCACTTATACGATTATAATATAGATTATAAAACATATTTGGCGCCGAAAATAATTATAATTTTCTGTCAGTTTGAGGATATGTCACGTGCGATACATCGTCGACATTCTTATTCTCCCGTGAGAAATTATTAGCCATTATCAACATCCATGCTCGACTCTTATTTATTAGTTTTTATCATTAGTCAAAATTAATTCTTAACGATTGAAAATCTGAGAGCTCTTAATACAGTTTTATTTAGAGCATATGCAAATCATTCGTGAAACAATCTTCTGAAATATATATGCAGTAAAAAGGTAGAAAAAATGGTGATATTCACACAAAGTGCGAATTATCTTCTTTACGATCCTCGAGATTTTACGACCTCGTATTCGCCTGCGATGAACGTAGAGAGAGAGAGAGAGAGAGAGAGAGAGAGAGAGAGAGAGAGAGAGATAGATAGAGCGCGCAATTGCGCGTAGTGTGGCGAAGCTTATTTTTAATTAGATTCCATTGTCCCCGATAGATTTTCGAAGTGTCGCCCCGAGGGAAGAGCAAGATCTAATTATATCGATAACGAGATTGGAAACAGAGGGAGGTCGAAAATAGACGCATCGGTCAAACAGAAATATCCTATTCTTGCTGTTGTTATTAGTTGAGATAGATATATATTCTCTCTATCTCTTTCTCTCTCTCTATTTTCGCGCGTAAATCGCGACGAATAGCAAGGCAACAAGAGATACGATGTGGGTCGTTAATCCTCACCGTTTGATCGTCCGTTTTTTGTCTTTTCGCAGGCACCATTACGTACAAATTCGTGACCGGGCCGCAGGAGAATGTTAAATTCGAGATCGACAACGTAACTGGTGTGATCAATACGACTACGATAATGGACAGAGACGAACCTATTAAGGATAGGGAGTTCTACCTCACGGTGCTCGCCACCGACAACGGGAGGCCGCAGCTGGACGATGTGTGTACATTTAAGGTCACCATCAGGGACATCAACGACAACGAACCCGTCTTCGACAAAGTGGTACGTAGCCCGACTAAACTGAGCTCTCCGACTTATCAACTCATTAATACGTGCATGGATCGATCGGGCCTTACCGGCAACCGTGGGTTGCGTCTACAAAAGAAGCCGAGTGCACGCGTACCGATATGCGGCCTACATTATGCATCCGTGACAATTACGCGGGTATTAGAGCAGTAATCGACCTGTACCCGGGAAAAGGTGGAAAGAGGTGAAAGTCAAACGGACCAGCAGCACAGTTTCCCCGTTTGTCTTACGAGATCGTGTCGGGGGACCGAAAAGCCGAAAGAGTAGGAGTCTGTTCTCGGTGATTTTTCTTGTCTCATTTTTCCCCTAAATAGAGGGGGAGGTTAATTAAAACGAGGATAATTTGGAGAAAAGGAGAAACGATTTGCGTGCGCGTGCTGTCCGCTTAAAGCCACGCGATGAAACATATTTCGAAAATCCGACGCGTTTGCGAAAACGGATCAAGTCAATTTGAAGCAGCAGGCAGAGAGAGAGAGAGAGAAAGAGAGCGTCGATACGCGTTCCGTCCCATTCTGCATATTTTGCTTGCGTAATCGATTTCATGAATGAGTAGAAGCTCCCACTGGTCGCAGAATTACGGCTCCCCCGTACGTTCATATCGTGTGCGAACTCCCTTTTTTTCCCCACAGAAAATTAACCTCCACTCGACCTATCCATCACCACCACCGCTACTAACAGGTTCTGCTTCAAATTCTCTTTCTTTTTGTTTCACTCCAATCTCAGGTCTTCCGTGGATACAAGTGGCAGGTTGGTCTCTCGTGTTTGCCGTGTGTGAATGTTGCTCGATGTAAATGGGAGGAATACAAGTGCCTCAAGTCCTTTTGTCACCGTCGTCGTCGTCGTCTCTTGTTTGTTCCGCTTTATTTTTACCAGCAGTATGCGTACCTCGCGAAATGAACGATTATTTGATTTTCACATGCCGAGCGAGCCGTTTCCTGTATGCGCTTGAAAAGATACACCTTCGTGTTCCACCGCGCTAGGGAGACTCGGTAAACCGCGACTGCAAATATCCGCGCGTCAACGGCGGGAGAGATAGAGGGAAAAAAAAAGGAGACACTTTTCGCGATCGATAATGACAATCGTGGCGGGATGATGACAGTCGTCGCGTTTCCCCCCGTTCCCTCCGAGTTGTCATGCATGTACGTAATACTATAGGAATGACAAGGCACTGTGAGCACGATTCATTCGGGTATTGCATGGAACGCATCACGCTAAATGCATTTTGATGATCACGCGCGCATATACCGCGAACGGAAAACCGGTATAATTTTCGTTCCCCTCTCCGTTTAATGAATCTTAACTTTGTTGCGCATACAGGCGTACACCGAATCCGTGCCGCAAGATTTACCCGTCGATCGCGAAGTCATGAGAGTCTCCGCCAGCGATCCCGACGACGGTGACAATGCCACTGTGCGTTACAACTTAACGGCTAAGACAACGGCTGACGACGGGTACTTCCGGATCGACAGAGAGACTGGTATCATATACCTCACGCAAACTATAAAAAACGTAAGTGAGCACGGTATTAAGAGAGAGACAGACAGAGGGGGAGAAAGAGAGCGCTACTTAACTAGCGCGTTCTTCTCCCGCTTCTCGTTTTGTAATGTTTCCCCGGCGAAACTAGAGCTCGCTCCTTTCCTGATAGTTCGAACGGCGATAGCCGCTTTTCCTCGTCGTTGTGCGAGTTACCGTGTCATTCATCGGCAAGTTCCGTTGCGCCGGTGTGTTGTGGCTCGCGCACACTATAGAATTTCTTTCTTAGTTACTAACGAGAGCGTATATTGGCCTTTAGAAGCAACGCTCGGATATTATATAGTGCGATATTGAATATTAATATTACCGATATTAATATTGTTATTATTATTGTGGGGGGATATAGTTGTTTTATAAAGGATAAAGTTGCGGGGGAAAAATTGATTTGCGGCTTATGGGTCGGCTGAGACAGTTCAACATGCCCTTTACTCGCTAAAACTACTTTATCTTCCCACAATAATAATATTAATATTAGAAATATTAATATTCAATATCGCATTATAATATCCGTGCGTTGTTTCTGAAGGCCGATATGCGCGTTCGTTAGTTACTATTTATCAGGAATATTCTTGCGTAATTCTTGTTTCTTAATTATTCTCAGAAGGTACATTTTTCTATTGGATACAAGATACGTTGCGAAGCTTATAAAAAGAAAAAGTATCGCAACCTTTCCGTCCAGCATTGTGTATGCGCGGGATATACTTTTTCGAGGGTGTTATCCGTTGGAAAATTTCCCTTAAGGCGCTCGAATAAAAGTAGCATCGCTGAAGCTAAAATATTTATTTATTTATTTATTCAATCAATTAACGAAAATAAGACTCTTTGGTGTACAAATTTAAAGACGGAGGAAATTATACAAGATTAATTCCAATACATACGAAACGAAATGCATACAAAAAAAAACATTTTTTGAGATTACTCAATTTGATGAAGAAGAGAGAGGACATGGATCAAGCTACGTTTAAAAGAATTCAAGGAGTTATTGGAAAAATCGATAGATTGAGAGTAACTGTTCGTTAATGTGCAAATTCTACTCATACAGTTAAATCTGCCACACTAATAGAAAATTATAGTTATTTTCGTCTCCAAAAATATTGTATAGTATTAGGTTGGTGCAAATGAAATGGCTGGTTTATAAATATAAAGTTGAAAGTTGTATTTTTCAAATTTAAAACTTACATAACTAATCAAAATAGCTTTCACCTACTTCAATACACTTCTACCAACGTGATCCAAGTGCATCAATGCACTTTTTAAAAAAATCTAGAGAGCGTGAATCGATAAACTCCTTAAATGCATTTTTCACACTTCTTTCTTTATTGAAATTCTTTTTTCATGAAATTTTTGCCCGCCAAAAACGCATCCAGATGCTTGAAAAAATGATAATCTGTTGGTGAGGTGTCTAGAGAATAGGGAGGGTGAAGGAGAACTTCAATGTTCACTCGGCGAGTTTTTGAACGGTTTGTTTTGCAATGTGTGGTCTAGCGTTATCGTGCAACAGCAACGTGTCTGTTGACCAATGCTGGCTGTTGAGCGCACAGTTTTTGGTACATGGTGGCAATTTCCTGACAGTATTTATCAGAATTTATAACCTCACCTTATTTGGTAAATAAATAGTGAACGATACTTTTGCTAGACCACTATACAGACATCATCATTTTCTTGGGGTGAAGATTCGATTTTGGAATGTATTTTGGAGCCTCATTCGTATCTAACCAGTGCGCAGAACGTCGGTGGTTGTCGTAAAAAATCCATTTTTCATCACAAGTCACAATCCTGTGTAAAATTCCATCTGTATTCTGTCGCAACCGCAAAGAAATGCAGATCTCCAAACGTCTCAATTTGTCACTCTCTATGATTTCATGGGGGACCCATTTATCCAACATTTTCACTTTTCCTTAACTTGTTTAAATATCGGACGGCAGTTGAATGATCAACTTCGAATCTTTTGACAATCTTTCAGACTGTTAACCTTGGATCTGTTTTAACCATCTCCTTCAAAACAACGTCATCAATGACGGGAGGTGCGTGTCCGCGAGACAAATTGTCGAGGTTTGTGTCCCAGAACGAAATTTTTAAAATCAACGCCTCGTCGTTCTTTCACTTACAGTACCTTCGCCAAATGCAGTATGAATGTTACGCGTTGCCTCAGCTGCAGTATGACCAAGTTTGAACTCATATAAGTAAATTATACGAATTTCTCTATTTTTCATCACGGCGTTAATGCAAACTTCTATGACTAACAGTACAATATAGAAATAAAGTTATGTGCGCTAAATCACATGTGGATCATGTACTTTTCACACAGTATATATACACCGTCTTCTGTATGAAAGAAAAGTAATCTATAGGGGTGGGAAATTCAAAACACTGAAAAACGGCTATTTCATTTGCACCAACCTAATATAATAGTAGCGATATGAATGTAAATTTATTATTATTGACACTATAGTGACACTTACTAGAAAAGCGGTTCCCCTGACTATTTTTGTGATTAAATAAAAAAAAGAGTATGTTTAGCGAAAATAACTATAACTTTCTATTAGCAGACACACGTACGATGACACTCAATATAAAATATCGAATGAGCTATTCTGGATGACGCATGAAGAATAAACGTTAACAATTCGGGACCCACTCTATAACTGTGATTTAAATAAAATATACATATCAGAAAATATTCTTACATATGTGACGCGTATCGATTCGGTTTTTCGAGCAAGCTCAAGTTTCCGTCGGATTCACTTGGTGGAGCGCATAAATTGCTCACGTTACCAATTTTGCTCAGCACAACCCAGGCTATAGATTCGGTATGGTGGCTAGGGCCATGGACCTCGGCACACCTTCATTGTCTTCTGCTATTGATCTCGATATACGGGTAGTAGAGTCGCATAAGAAGGCGCCAATTTTCCTACCGAGGCCATTAGAGCCGATCAAGTTAAGGGAGAATTTTTCCGATTTCGACGCCAGCATTGTCCGTCTGAAAGCGATCTCCAACGTCAACGACTCCAACAGCAAATGGGACAATTCGAACCTGCTCTTCGAACTGGTCGTCGGTAGCAAAGAGCAGACTAACAAGCTGAACACCTTTAGGTATCTATTAATTTGCGCACGCGCTCTTTTTTCTCGTTCCGTATACACGTAAACATTTTTTTGTTGATAATGTGAATAACATACTATACTATAAGAGTATAATTTACTAGATTTCTCTGTTGCGGACTGGGATATATTCATACCGAGGCCATTATTTATGTGCGACAGCAAACGAATAGTTTAATCAGATATATCTTTTAATCTGATGATATACAAATTTACCATTACGTACAAGAAATATCAGAAAAATGTCCCATACTGACATATATATTTTTGTCGCTGCAATTTGGACTGATCGTTATTTTTCAGTACTGGTATCGGAAAAAATGTTATCCCGGGTAGTAACTATTGTGCAACGTATAATATTACCGTATATGCGCGTCTATGACGATAGCAGAAAAACGGAATATGTTTTTAGGTAGAGATAGACAGTTGTAACGGTGTTAATTATATTGCATTGTTCGCCATCGTTTGCAAAGGAACCGTTGTACAACTAAATCTATGTAACAATAAGCAAATCTGCAAGTCAGCTGCAAATTATAATGATTTATTTGACTTTGTTATTTTAGTTAATAATTATTATTTATTACCGAGAAATGTTAACCCTTTGCGGTGGTAATAGTTACAAACATGGGTATTTTGCCGGGAATATCCCAGAGTTCGACCACAAAGAGTTAAATATTTTTATATATAATTTAATTAATCTTTCAAAGTTTTATTAACATCAAAGCGATGCGTACCGAAAGATACAGAAAGAGATATATTCAATATGGGAATTTTTTCCCGCTCCTTTGAAAGGACCATTATGAAAAACTTTCACATACACATGAGAAAAATTATTACATCCGCGTACAGTTTTATTACTTTATTATTACTTGCTCTCTAAATTTCCCATACTTCCTTGAAATTTCCTCGACATTAGAAGTATATCATAGCCAGGTTAGGTTACTGGTATCTTTTCGGCCCGTGAATGTTTACACCTCCGAGAAGAATTCCCTGTGTGTAATTGCGGAGCGAGAAATTCCAACGGCCCTACACGATATGTAAACGTATACTGAAATGTTTCACTTTGCGTTCCCCTCAGATTAGAATCGAACAAGGACGTGGCGGACATCAAGATCTCCCAGGCCCTCGATTACGAGAGCAACACGCAGTATTCATTAATAGTACGGGTGCAAAATAAGAATCAGTTGGCCGCCGAAACGGTAGTTGACATCGAAGTTCTCGACGTGAATGATATCATTCCAACTTTCCGTGATATCAAGAAAGGAAGCGTGTTGGAAAACGAACCGCCGGGAGTACCCGTGATGCAAGTACGAGCGATCGATCTCGACGGGACTTCCGCCAACAATCAGGTATCAGAATTATACGAATTAATAATCCCGATCTGAAGCATCTCTCTCACACATACACACGCGCGCACGTGGACGCGCTTATCATCGTTAATCTTGCTGTATCTCGGTGTTATTCCTTTAAAAGGTCCGTTACGAGTTGGACAACTTTAAGGAACTGTTCGCAATCGACAGCGTAACTGGCAATATCACGACATTAGTGACGTTCGACAGAGAGGTTGAGGACACGTACGATATTAAAGTGATAGCGATGGATAATTCGCCGAGTGCTCTGTTCAAAACCGGCGAGCCCAACAAAGGGCAACAGGTGTTCCGAATAGAAATCGGCGATAAGAATGACAATCCACCCCGCTTCACCCAAAAGGTGTACACTCATAATTCGGTTGACGAGAACGCCAACATCAATACGTATATAACCCAAGTTGAGGCCCTCGATTCCGACACAGCAAGTCCAGTCACGTACAGCATCATAGCAGGAAACACTAACGGCAGCTTTTCCATCGAGCGCACGACGGGGAAAATTCGCGTGAATCAAACGTTGGATTACGAGCAGATCACTAAGTACAATTTGACCGTGAAAGCGTTCGACGGCGTGTTTAACGATACCGCGCAGGTGGAGATTTTCATCGAGAACGTGAACGACAATCCGCCGGTCTTCAGAGAGTTTAACAAAAATCCGACGATAGAGGAGGAGAAATTAGTGCCTGGTAAGATTACGTCGATGCGATTACTTCTCACGAGATGAGAAGGAAGAATGCGCTTGTGTGTTCTAAGAAAACTATAATAATAATAATATATTTTTATTGAACATTAGCCATTGGTTATCTAACAAACACCAAGTTACAATTAATATAACATCAGTGTTACAATTTCCCATTCAGCAATGTAAATGCAGTATAAAATGCGTGATGAAATTGTGACACTGATGTTATGTTACTTGATGTTTGTTGCGTACATATATAAGAGATAATATTTTATTTCAAAGTTAGCCAAAGGGTGTGTCAATAACTTAGGAGCTAACATTACTGCTAAATCCAACTAATTAAGTAGAAATATAACATATTATAACGATAAGAGGGAATAGAATATCACGTAATTGGCAAAGCGAGATATTCCGCAGCACCACGATGACGAGACGAAATACGAAAGTTAAGTGAAATCTACGAAGACGCATTAAGTAAATGAAAGAATCACCTTGTTTAGGATGTATCACCACCGTGGAGGCTTACGATCCAGACATCGAGGACAGGAATGCCGACCAACATATCGCGTACTTCATCGTGAAGGAAATTCAGCAACCTCTCATCGACATCGACAAAACTGGCTGTATGAAGCTGAAGAAGCCGCTGGATCGTGACCCGCCGAACGGCTATTCGATGTGGACTGTGAGTTTCCAAGCTCGTCGGGCTAATATCTTCTGAAGTTACGATTTTTTCTCTCCCTAACTTTTCACCGGTCAATCGTTATTTTTCACCACCAGGTCATCGTAATGGCGAGAGACGAAGACGGCTCGCCCACGGCGCTACGGGAATCGGTGGTCGTCAACATCACCCTTCTCGATATAAACGACAACGCACCGTTCCTCGATATGCCTCATCCCGTGATTTGGGGCGAGAATCAGTCACCTGGCAAGATAACCGAGCTCAAAGCGCGCGATTACGATTCCGATGAGAATGGCCCTCCGTTCCAGTTCCGGATCGACAGTAGCGCCGACGAAGAGATCAAAGAGAAGTTCGACATTCACAAGTCCAGTTTATTCGCGAGGGTGCAGTTCGATCGGGAACAACGAAAGAGCTACGATATACCGATCGCGATTACGGACAGCGGTTCGCCGTCCATGACGGGCACCTCGACTCTCACTGTGATCATAGGCGACGAGAACGACAATCCCATGCAGGAGGGCTCGAGCTCGATATTCGTCTACAACTACAAGGGGGAATCGCCCAATACGCAAATCGGGCGCGTTTACGTCAACGATCCGGACGACTGGGATCTGCCAGATAAATCCTTCGACTGGGCCGCCACTCCGCACGAGGGATTCTTCTTAGACACCGACACCGGTATGATCACTCTGTTGTCCGGCACGTCGAACGACACCTTTGTGCTCAAATTCATCGTCACCGAGAAGGGTCACTTCTCGGGGCGCTTGCACCAAGTGAGCGCTTACGTGAACGTCACCGTGAAGGAACTCCCGGAGGAGGCCGTAGAGAGGTCCGGCTCGGTGCGATTTTATGGAATAAACGCGGAACAGTTTGTCGAGCCCGACGAGTCCGGCGTCAGTAGGAAGGAGATATTCCAAGAGAAAGTGGCATCCATGCTGAACATCTCGGTCGAGAACGTGGACGTGTTTACTGTTCTCCACTCGCCTCACTACAACAACCGGAGCCTGCTCGACGTCCGTTTCTCGGCGCACGGCAGCCCGTATTACGCCCCCGAGAAGCTCAACACCATCCTCGCGCAGCATTCGCGGGAGATCGAGCGCGAGATGAGAGCGGATATCTTACTGGTGAACATCGACGAGTGCCTGTTCGAGAAGCTGCACTGCAACAACTCGTGCCGCAGTTACCTGAACGCCAGCACCGTGCCGTACCCCATCTACACCAACACCAGCTCGTTCGTCGGTGTCAGAGCGGTCGTGGACCCGCAGTGCACCTGCCACGTCGCGGAGCCGCTCGTCTGCCTGAACGGCGGCACCCCGTTGGCGGAACGATGCGAGTGTCCACCTGGCCTGGAAGGACGGAGGTGCGAACTCTTGAGTATCGGTTTCCACGGAGACGGTTGGGCCATCATGCCTCCGCCTGGTCAAGCCTGCGAGGAGTCACATCTCGGTAAGGGCGCCGATAACACCACCACGTGCATTTACGTTCCTCTTGTAAGATATAAAGCGAAACGCATCATCTTGACGATGACAACGCCTAATAAGAAGATGAGAAAAGGTGGAACGGGAATTTAGGTAGCTCAGTCTAAGAAAAGCGGCAAAAACGCGCGTGACGTATGAACGAAAATTTATCGTTCGAATCTTTTGTTCTTAGATGCTAGAAATGTTATCGTTATCGGACAAATTTCATAACCAACCTTCGCGGTTTGTTCACAAATATATAAGGCAATATGAAAAATATTATTACTACTACATACTAGTGTATTGAATGAAAGTCATTGTGACGTCATACGGACAAATTTCGGAAGATTTGTTCATACATCGCGAGAATGATAGATTTGTACTTCCTGCCAGTCATTTATTAAAATTCTACGAATTCTTGTTTTTTTAATCAGAGTTAGGTGATTCAGGTGAAAACTGAGGTTACGCTGAATTGAGCAGTATTATTCTTTTCGTGTCATCGTCAAACGTTACGTTAGAAATAAAAAAAGGGCGTGATGACGTATGGAAATCGATTTTCTTTCCAACTTTCACACTTTCTATCCATCGTCTACATCAACGACTGTTGCAGGACTGGAGATAACACCGCACGTCGAGAACAGTCTCGTATTCTACTTCGGACCCATGACTTACAGTCCTAAACTTGGCATTCAAGATTTCATGGCTCTGGAGCTTCAGCAAGGCTACGCCGTTTTGTACATCGACTATGGGACGGGAACTGCGCGGCTGGATCAAAGACAAATTAAATTAACGGACGGCAAGAGTCACAGAATAGATGTTTTATGGACAAAAACGGTAAGGAGTCTCTTTTCGCTTTGCACTGTCTTGATTGTGATATCAAGTGCAACCAGTTTTCACACATTTGTTTCTCCTCGCTCCAGTCGATAGAGTTGAAAGTGGACAATTGCGCTATATCTGCCTGCCTGAGTCTCACCGCACCGGTGAATGGGCCGCACGGAACCAATGAATTCCTCAACGTTAACGGCCCGATGCAAATTGGCGGGACGTTGAGCAATTTAGCGTACTTGGCGTCGAAATTGGGATGGGATCATACGCCGACCGAGAGGGGATTCGTCGGCTGCATACGCAACATGTCAATCAATGGAAATGTAAGCAACGGAAAACAGTGATCAATAAGTAAATAGGTAGTAGACAGTATAAATAATAAGAAATGGAATAACTATACTAAGTAGAATTGGATAAGTTAATTTTTATTTTTAACTAAGTTGAACATTAACGGCCTATAAAATTAACTTAGATAAATTAAAAGTTATTGAAACGGAAACTAAATAAAAAATGAAGTTAAAATTAATTCATTAAAAGTTAATTACGCATTGTGCCTATATATATGTATTTTTTGCATAAATAACCTTTTTATCGTAGATTAAATTTATGTAAAATAATGAAAAGATAATCTATTATAAGAAAATATCGACTTGTTTTATACTTAGGATTCTACACAAAAAAAGAGCATTCTTATTCTCTACAGTAAGCAACTTGCACAATGATTTTAATATTAATGAATTATTTCACTGAATTCTTTTTTTTTTGCGCTTGCTCAACAACTAGTTTAAGGCATAAGTTAACTCATTTAAAATTAACTAAGTTATGTTAAAAGTTATGAAGTTTCCTTAACTCTTAACGGATTAACTAGTTGTTATTCAATCCTGTGGATATAAGTAAACAAATTATAATACAGATTAATGAGTGAATTTAACAGATGGATATTGAAATCACATCGTACTTGAGTTGTTTTCCTCGGTTTTTGTTTCAGACGTACAATTTAGGTATGCCGTCGATATCCAAAAATGCGGATCCTGGCTGCAACCATGGCATGGCAAAGGCCGTATCGTTCGGCATCGATACGAATTTCCTAGTAGCTATATTAGTCTGCGTAGCGATATTGTTGATACTACTGTTGGCGGTGGTTGTACAGAGAAGGAAGACAGACGACATGTACAAAGATATGGACGACATTAGGGAAAATATTATTAATTACGAGGACGAAGGTGGCGGTGAGGTTGACACAGGGTATGACTTAAACGTGCTGCGAGCTATTTACGACGCGCCGCCTATCGATTCCAAGATAGCTCCGGTTGGTCTACAGGGTAGAGGTGAGATATCATGAGGATACATCATTGGAGCGTTGATTATGCACAGATTATGTTGTACAACGTCTGAAGGAGCGACTCTTTTATTTCAAGGAACCGACGAAGTTCCCGACATATGTGGTTTCTTAGACGGCAAGAAGGAAAGCTGCGACAAAGATCCCGACACGAATCCGTTCGATGATGTGAGACATTACGCTTACGAAGGAGAGGGCAATTCGGAAGGCGACTTGTCGTCGTTAGCTTCCTGTTAGTATTTTCACTCACCGGAAGATCGTATCGCGCGTCTTCGTTTCTTAATAATTAACCCCTGCTCGCACTTTCTCCCTCCGCAGGTACTGACGACGGAGATCTCAAGTTCAATTATCTGTCTAATTTTGGACCAAGATTCAGAAAATTGGCAGATATGTACGGAGAAGAGCCCAGCGACGAGGATAGCGACGGTGTGGGCGAGCGGGAAAGCGAAAGTTGGTGTTGAGTTTTCTTAGCTGGAAACTCGGCACATGTAAAATTTTTAACGAGAGTAAGATATATTCCAATTCGTTCGTTTTTTCCGATTGATTTCCAAATATTGTCGGGTTCGTTACACAAGAAATCGCACATCGGAACGTAGCCGATGGTCCATTGAGAGAATTTCTCTCAAGAATAAACTCTTCATCGGCCACGGTTTATTTCTCAAGAATAAATTCTTTCATTGGTCATCATTGCGTCCCAATATCCGACTGCGATGTACGACTTATTCTTCTGCAAAGGGCCGTCTGCAATAATCGTAAAGTATGCGGCAAGATACAAGCAGGAAACCGATTGACTAACCACAGTCGATTATTCTTGGACTGTAAAAATCCAATTGGTCAATGGGTCAGTCGACAAAGTGTTAGGCCGTTTACATAATAATATAACATCTATAACTGCGGGGTTATTCGGTCTATATTCCCGTGTCTTTCATTTCATCGCTCGGTTCTTATTGTTGTAATTTCTTAAATTGCGAAATGTCACAATCATGATCGAAAAGTGAATTCAGACTTTTATGTCCGGAAGGGGAGAAGAAAGAGAAGGAAAAGAAATATACGCGTCATCGTGCAAGATGTCGATTGTCTCCAACAACAGCTCGTCTGAGTACGGGAATGCGGTATAATCCAGAACCGTTTTGAATATTCGTGTTTCGCGCAACGTACGATGAACGTACTATTCTCTCTTGTCCCACTTGTGCGCACGTATCGCTTCTGACGTAAAAGTATAATATAAATGTAACCGTCTTATCGACACGAGATATAAAAATTCATTTTGAGGATCGATACGAGATTACACGTCATTTCTGCAAGCAAAGAGAATACTGGCTTAGTTCGTGTATTGTCAGTCACTTGCGATTAATCTGAAACTTCAGTAACGGTCTGTCAATAAGTCACACTCGCATAATAACACAACACACCGCGTCGATCGACTCGCATACTGTAAAACTCCTTCGCCTGTTCCTTCGTAGCGGCGGAGTTGGCGTACGTCACATCGACTAGCGGCGAATGAGACCACGCGTGTAGTTTTAACTACAATGAAGCCTCGTTTCCCTCTTCTCGATAGCGTAAATTGAGGCTGCGGAAACGGGCCTGCGTCAAATCTCTGCGGCACGTATATTCGTACTTATAGTTATGTGGACCGCATGAGCTGAAGTGAAACCTGCGTGCGTCTCCTGGAAATCGGGAACGGGTCGTGTGTGAACAGGTGTTAACAATCGCGTCTATTGCAGTATTGTAAGGTTCGTTAAGGGCCATTTACAATAGCCGTAAGATATGCGACGCAAGTAGTAAGCACCATTGACCAATTGGATTTCTACACTCCGAGAATAATCGGCTGTGGGTTAGTCAATCAGCTTCCTGCTTGTATCTTACTGCATACTTGGCGATTATTATAAACGGTCTTTTACAGAAAAATAACTCGTATATCGGCGTAGGATATCGGGACCGCAGCCAATGAGAGAGCTTATTCTTGAGAAATAAATTCTCTAATTGGACCATCAGCTACGTTCCAACATACGATTTATTGTTTAACAGGCCTAACAATATTTGGAAATCAATCGAAAAGAACAAACGAATTGGGATACGTAGTCGGAAATCGATTTTTCTTATCACTGGTTATTCACTGATTACTGTATACACACACACACACATACACACACACATACAAAGCTGCTTAGAAAAGCTTTTGGAAATTTTGTTATGGTTTTCCAAAATAAAACACACGGACAGTTTTCGCACGAGCGAAACCAGATCTATTTAATGCTCATTTTATCATATTTTAAGCATCTCATGCTGTCGCAGACATTTCGCCCGTGTACATAACCCAGATAACGCGGATGATTGGCAGTATAATATCATTAACAATTTCGTGTCGCTCCGCGTTATTAACACGGGGAAAAAAATAAGTTTGCTTGTGTCAACGTGACGAGACGAAGCGAAGCGGACGCGTTTTGGTTGAGGGAAAAAAAATTTCTAGCTGTAAAAACCGAATTTGATTCGTAAGGAACGGATGTTCCGTTTTTTCCGACATAAAACGCGCTTGGTTCTCTTCATCGTCACGGCAATTCAATCAATCTTCTTTCTCAAACGTCTAGATTTATTGCACGTCGATAAAGTCGACGAAGTATTAAGCGCATTCTTCGTTCGTTCATTCACCAAGATTATTGGAACTAGAGAAAGAGGTACTGTTTATTTTGTTAATGTTTCTTTTTTCTTTTTAACATTATACATAATAGTAACGAAATGCTATGTGACTGACTTTAGAACTCGCCGGCAAGGGAAACCTTAGTAACTTTGTAAAGTCGCGCGTTCATGGCTGCCAGGTTCAAGAGACGTTTTCCTACGACCACTCGCTTATACACACACATACATACACACACATATTCCATTATCATTTTTAATAATAAATGTGTACATTCCAATAGCAAGAGCAGCTGCAGCGCAGCAATGCCACTTTGAGTTCATTTGAAGCTACAAACGCTCTGGGTGCACTTGAAGAAAGACTATGATTGATCTGTACGGCGCTTCGAAGCGTTTGCAGCGTCAGGTGGATCCTATCCTTAGTAAGCATCGTTGACGCGTCGCAGTTTAACAAAGCAACGGTCTATAACGAGAGTAATAATTCGTAATATTCGATTGCTGATCTGTGTTCTTGAGTTTGGCAATCATCGAGTTACGAGGTTTCCGGACTATTTTTTATACATTATATAAATATATAAATATACATATAAAAAGATATATATATACATAGATAGACAGAGAGAGAGAGAGAGAGAGAGAGAGAGAGAGAGAGAGAGAGAGCGCAAGCGAATTATAAAAGAAAAACGAGTGATCAGTGTAGTGGATCGTGAAAGGACAACACTTCTTAACAGGAATTTAGAGGGATTATCGCAGGAATAAAGGAACTGAATGGGAGAATAGTGCGCGCGTCACTTTTCTATTTAATTTATAATATATAGTATTTTAATAATTCAGCGTATGTATGGATGAGAGAGAGAGAGAGAGAGAGAGAGAGAGAGAGAGAGAGAGAGAGATATGCAAGACGTACGGTGTGTCACGAGTGCGTATGCACATCCGACGTCCGTGTGCATTAACGGACGGACACGGTCCGTGTAAGTGTGTACTGTAATCGCGTGCGTAATATTGTTATATTCGATATACGTTCCCGCAAACGCATATACATATATACATATATCCTTTATACGTGTATATTTCTCTCGCGAGAATCGCAAGAGTTAGGAAGTTCTCTCGTCGCAAGTTTGTCCGTAATGTTCCGCCAGTAGGATTTTATCTCGCTCTAAGCAGCACATCCGTGCTTGCAGACGAAAGAAAAAAAAAAAGAAACAACCGACGCATGAAGATCGAGTGCCATAGCGCGCCTCGGACGTTCGATCCTCTCTCTCCATTTTCTCATTTCGCGAGTAACGATTAACAGTTAATTCCTACCGACAATTCCTACCGACATAGGACATCAGCACACATTCGCGCGACCCGCAAGTAACTCCGGGACGACAAACCGCGTTAATACACACGTACGTACTTAAAACGTTTGCAATCAAATGTTCCCTCGTCACGGAAGTATTTGCCTGTGTCCGTCGTCGGTCAGCGACGACCACTTTATTAAAACTTTATTAAACCGTCAGCATTCTCGCCGTAGCGTCTTCATGAGGTTAATAAGTATTTATACGTGTATGCGAACACCACACATACACACCGATGCTCTTACTTTTAAGCTCCTTATACACAGACCGGCGTAACAGCGCATTATAATTAGGGTTACTAGTATTTTTTAAGCGTATAAAATACATTTGTTCCGGGATATCAACGGATGAAGTTGTTAACAGTGACGGGCGACTGCCTTGTCACGTCGTCTTCTTGGAGTAATCAATAAATAATAAATTGATAATGCGTGCGATTGGAAAATCCTAAGAACCTAACCGCATGACATATTGAGGCTGTTATGTCGGTTTGTCTGCATTTGGTTTCGACACGGTTCAGACACCTTTCTTCGATGCGATTTAAAACAGAGCCGGTGGCACGATGGGAGAACTTAGTTTCTGGAAATTGATCGGAAACAAATTCCCTCGGTGGTGGACCATCGGCCGCACTTCAAACCGCATTGAGAGAAAAGGTAAAACCGTATCGGAAGCAAGTGTGCGATAAAGTTAACGATGACATATGTATTGTCTGCGAGTGGTTACGTTGAGGTGTTACCGCAGATCGAGATACGTTCCTCGGTTATTCGTGCTGCTTGAGACTCGCCATTTTTTATAACTCGTCGACGATGAAGTACTGACGATTGTTGAGTGCGTAACGTTTCGATACTTATTATATAGTAATAAGACGAGCGATTTAATATCCATCGATATTTCATATGTGAGATATCCGAGATCACGTTCAACAAATAATTCGCGTTAGTGATGAACTTTCAATAATTCCTCGGCCGTACGAAGAGAACTGTGCATAAGTAACCGAGGGATGTTCAGATCACGTTCCTCCACGCGTAAATGCGTATGAAATTCGATCTTGTTTTTAAACATCTGACGCGTAAGAGAACGATGTTTAAATGGAAACGCTGAGGAATGAGATCAAATGTGTTTCAAATAGCATTAATATGGACCCATACAGTTTGCTTTTTCTCTCTCCCGAACCTTGTGAATACATCCAAAATGTAACATCTACAATATAATCAAAACTTTCTCAAGAGAATTTCCAACCTTCTTACGAATACTTCTTAATATAACACTATCAGAGGAAAAAAATTTAGAAATATATCAATACATATCTCTCCATGTGCTGCTTATGTGTTGATCTGTATTGTGTTTTCTACTGATAGTCTTCTCTGTGCATCGTTGCTGTTATATTTGCAAAAGTAGAGAAGGATAAAATATTCGATATTCGATTCTCGAATATGTATATTTTGTGAAATCCCGTAGCGTTCCATATTGATATCGTTTGATATTGATCTTCGAATTTGATCTCATCCCTAATGACATCGTCGTACTCTGATACCGCACTGTTAATCATTGAAACGAAACTCAACGTACCGCGCAGTCTTAATACATATCGCGAAGATCGACGCAGATGTATGACGATGCAGCTACACGATAAGAAAGACAGCTTAGGCGGAAGCGTGTGATCTCAAGAATTAAGCAGCGGATTCTTGGTTGGGCGTTCCTCCGTATGAATGTCTACCTACGAGCTACTTAGACGCTTGCCATTGAACAACGATTAGGAGAGAAATCAAGTTGATACAGTGACAGAGACCTAATCATTTAGCTAGAAACAAGAACTAACTATTCCCATTGAAATTTAATTTCCGCGCATCTTCGCGCAAATTGTTCTTATCTTTTCCCCCTTTATCTCTTCTTTTTTTATTAAGACAGACATTTCTGGCAAGCGTGGCGAAAAGACGTTATATCAATACAAAGTCTGTATGATAAAGTTTGTACGTGTGCAGGATGCTTCAGAATCACAGGTGAAAGATGTAACTGGCCGGTGGAGAGAAAAAATTGCGAAAGCAAACAAAGAGATTTTTACGTGCATAGGTGCGTAAAATAATCGTCTTCGGGATATTCAGCTTCTTACTTTACTTACCTTTTTAGCTACGCTCTTCACATTCATGTTTACACGTATGTATATTTATTATTGAACGTGTGCACCACGACTTGTTTGTTTGCTCTCGTAAATTACATTAACCTCTCAGTTGAATCTTGTAATTTTGAAGTGTCCCGCGCATATAAAGATATGTATGTATAGAATAACTGTAATAGGTTTTAATCCCCTGTCAATTGGGCGTAATGTACAACAGCTAACAATAACATCGCTCGACTTTTCCTTTATCATTTCTTTATCATCAATATAAGATTAGCTCTTACATAGGAACATAAGAAATTGCCGCGCGAAGAAATGTTGTTTTTTTTCCTTTTTAACTTATTCATTCGTTAGAAGAAACCTCCTCTTGCCCGCGTTAACTCCGAATTCGTATAAATCATTGATATTCATCTTGTGACACTGTAAAGAAAACGTTCACGCAATCCTCATCAATTTTCATACACCTGTAATCGCCGTTTCTCTAGTGTCCACGAGAAATGACGAATCGCTCATTTCCGTCGCGATAGGGTCGTAAAGTGTAAAGAGGTTCGTAAATGCTGTTGATAAATGTTTATTGAACACTGCCTTTAAGTGATAGAGAAAGATCAATTCTTCGACGCGCGATCTTAACAATTAAATCTTAACCGGATCTTGACGTATTACCGCACTCGAATAAAGAAAATGAAAGGAGATAGGATGTGAAGGGGAAAAAAAAAAGAACGTAAACCATAAACAGAGAGACAGAGACGCAGATATAACTAGATACGAAAATATACATATTATATACACGCGCATAAATGTATGCGCGCGCGTATACACAGGCTTGTACATTATCTAGCGAAGTAAGACTTCTATTGCGTACCATTTAATATGTGATAATCGACGGCAACGCATATGAGCGCACCATTATCCTTTACCTTCGATCCACCCTTAGCTCGACAACGTTAAGTGTAATTTCTTTTTTTGTAGCAATAAATTCGAATATACACGATACACGGTCCCGTCTTGATTGCCTCGTCCGCGCGGCACGCGCAGTACGAAGAAGTGCGAGTCTTTTTTCTTCTTTCCAGGAAACGCCGGCCCTCAATTGCGACACTTCGCGCGAATTTAATATGCCGAGTCAGATATGTAATATCGTTGATTGGCAAAAGTGGTGGTCTGTGAGGCTTCGCGTCCTGCTGGGTCCTTCGTTAGCGAATTGGGTGGAAGCCTTTCGCTATCCACGGTCCCACGCATCAATTTCATTTGGCGATACATCGTCGTAGGTGACGCAACAAACGCCGAAGTTCAGACCTCCCTTCCCTCGAACGTAATTGCCGCTGTGACGCACGTCGCGCGATAAAAATTTTCAATTTTTCCTTTTATTTCTCTCTCTCTCTCTCTCTCTCTCTCTCTTTCTCTACCACTTTCACGGTAAATCAAGATACATCTCGAAGATGATAATTTTATTTTCTTCCACGTTTCCATTGGTAGCATTAAAACATGAAATACCACTTGTTTATCTGGAAATGTTTTTTCCGTCGTTTGCACAGGTGCAAATAAGTTGTATTTGAATAATTTTTACCGCAACGAGATATCTGATATTTATTTTGCTCTCATCAACGACATTTTGAGGTATCGTCGCTGTTCATTTTCGTTGCTTTTGAAACCTTGGTTGATCTTATTTAGGAGCAACACGTGTTTATGTGATTCCAAACACGTGACGCGAAAGACGATATAAATACTGCGCTTAACTTGCGTTCCATAATTACGCGCGTTGCTAATTGCATCGGTGAAACGAACATTCCGGTGCGAACTAATTCGAAAAGGGATATTAGTATTTTTGGATAATACAAAACAATATCTCTTCCTTACTTATAAATAACGTACTTACAAATTAATCTTTTGTTTAATATTTAAGAATAAATAACGCGCTAGCTGTAGACAATTTTTTTCTAATAAAGATCGGTGCAAAATGATTTAAGTTATGTTTCTGATTTCTTTCTCATCATATAGAAAACCGTTATTTTCGCGACTGCACCGTCAATTACAGGACACTCTATATTTAAGAAGCGATCACAGATAAAGAGGCCGCATTCTGAACGCATAGGGAACACTAAGTATGCCCTTTTAATTTCGAGTCCCGTTTTTATTACAAGAGCGTCACGTATAACGTTGCTTCAGCTTGAGAATTAGAAAGATATAGTCAGCGTTCGACACACGTCCAAAATAAGACCTCTGTTCGATGTACGATAATTACGGTATATATTGTGCAAAAGAACGCGACGACGGTCACAATTATTATTTGAAATTACGGAAAGACGCGAGGCGCAGTCCGATCGCGGCATTCTCGGTCGATCTCGGTTCCTCGTTTGTACTGAAAACACACAATCCGCCTACGAGTGGCTCGCGAGGCGAAGGATTGTTAACGTCGGCGCAGAACGTTCATCCCTCTAGGATAACGATTGCATCTATCAGGGATGTTGTAACGCGCGCGCGTGAGGGGTCGGTAATATATAAAAACAGCGGCCACGTCTTGGAGCTGTCGTCCTGAGCGAGATCCTCGGTACATCGCATTGTTTCGCGCGTTACAATAAGTCACTCTACAGTAGTTCACGCGAAAGTGTGTTATCATGTGAGTTCCTACTTCCCTTCGTTAACCCGTGGATACATAGAGAAAGATTAATATAAGTAATAATTTGAGATTCATGTTCTCATATGTAATCAAGACTATATAATATTATATACAAATAAAACTAGCTTATACATACATGAAAGAATTCTATGTAGTTCCATAAAAAATATCGTACTCTTGTTACTCAAAAGTAGTTTGTATGAGTTGAACGAGAGAAAAATATCGGATACACAGTAAAAATTGTTATGTTAAATTTAACATATTTCACATGTCCCAAACGGACCGCTCAAATTTTTGTGTTAATTTAACACATTTTAACATAACGCACGGGTATGTTAAAAATTGGGCCCAAAAATTTTAACAAATTTTAGTACAAGTTCAAAATGTTTTTACTATATAGAAAATATCTTCTCTTAAAAACTCTGATACGATTCTTAATTTGAAGATATTGTTTTTCTTATCCAATTTTTCCCTCAATCAAAATTTTTTTCTCTCAATTCATGAAAATTATTTTTGCTTATTTATAAGAATATAAGTCTTGAATCAATATTAAGTTTTTTCTGTACGCAGCGCAATCATCTACTCTGATCTATTATTCCGTTAAAAACAATATTTCGCGTGAAAGATAATCAACTCGTTCGCGATATTCGCGGTGAACAATGTGCAATTTTTGGCCGAACAACTTCGACACGCGGAATAACGTCCGAAACGAATTTGCACTGCGGAGTCACTTTCATTTGAATCGGCTGCGTGCGCGGAATTTCGCGAATTGATTGGGAAAACTTATTAAAGAATCTGTCGCTATTTAATACATAAAATAAATAAAAAAAGATAAAAATACTCTGTCCGCATGCAAAGTCGCCCGTGCATTTATTAAGTTATTAACGCAAACGAATTCCCGGTTACGTCACATCATTACGCATTTCTGACGCTTGTTTGTGAAATGTGGTTTTCTGCCACATGCGGGATTATTTTACATTTCACATGTTATTTTATTTTACATGTGCGCGCGTTATCTCGCCCGGTATTAATTACGGCACCGGGTGCAATGAAAGGCATTACGTACAATGTCGGAAATACTTGTATAAATATTCAAGAACACGTTGTCACGCTGGGAAAGCAACAAGTCGCAAGTGCGCTCATTAATTGGTATTTGCACAGTTAACGTTTCCACACACGCACACACATGCCGACGAATCTCTGTCACCTTTAACAACTTCTTCATCGCGGCTGTAACAGCTTTCTTTCTTCTTTCAGGTTCCGTAAGGCGCCAGTGAGCTTACTCGTCGTAGCGTTCCTGTTTTGCTTGATCCTCGTGTCGAGTGCCGAAGCTCAGTTAAATTTCTCCACCGAGTGGGGCAAGAGGAGCCAAAATGTACGAATGAAAACGGACTGTCCGTCGCGCAGCACCTCGTCCCTGGAACAATTGTTGAAGCTGTACACGTTCATTCAGGTGCGCGCGACGCGCGAAACGTATAAATGAAATATTCCCGTCTCATCTCGATGTAACGTCTCTCGTCGGTCGGTATCACAACCGGGGATACATTGAACGCCCGCACTGATCATTCGCGATTTCGCTGTCATTTGCAGGTGGAGGCGCAGAGGATCCTGGATTGTCAGAACTTGAGCAAATGAAAGCAAGCGGACCGTCACGTTCCTTCATCGAACGGACATCCCGCCGGACCTATTCGCCAGACGAGACCACAGAAAATGATATTATTTGAATAAACGTGATGCAACGCAACGCCGTGTCTCTTGATTTTTTTTCATCCTGAGGACCTTAGCAGAATGGCCGACTTATCGGTTTAAGACAATGTCTCAGGCCTTGAGTGTTTGTCTTTAAAGTAACGCACAATGATTGCGTCTCGCGTCTTGGGTTAGACTGAAATGCCGTTTTGCTTGTGATTGGTGACAAATCGTTGTATAATAAAAAAAAAAGTAAAACAAATGATAATTTTTGGATCAAGATTGAGGGCATAAAACATTGTCTTGAAATTGTAAGTCAATCGTTCCGCTCAGGTCCTAACGACAAAGCGACAAAGCGCACACGCAACTAACGTGTCGCGAATGTTAACACGACAGCGTTTCACTCGTTTAAAGAACGTTCCTCCGCTAAAAAAAGAAGGCGCGATAATTTCCATCTGCTTGCTTGTGTATGCTTTATACACAATACTTAATTGTAGCATGCGCTAATATTGAGGCAAGTGGTGAACAGCATTGAAAGTGGCCACCCGAAGCTGGCCGGCCGAAAGTTTATCCGTCACAAATTATCTAGAAGAAGTGTTACGCGTTACTGCGATGAATGTACATTGACAAAAAAATGTAGTTGATTCAACAAAATTTTGCTTAAATGAACACAATGTTTTCAAGCGCTATTGTTTGGTCCACTGAACTAATTAATTATATATATAATTTCTGTAATGAGTTGTGAGTTGATTCAACGATTGCGACTTGGTCAATTGTATAATGTTGCGCCAACGAGTAATTTGTTCAATGGACATAATATTTCTTTGAACATTTTTCTGAACGAAGGTGACCGCCAATTTTGCACATCCAACCGCTTTTTTCTCAGTGTAGTCTGCAAAATAAAAGGATAATCATTTGCTGTGCGATCCGAGGGTGGATCGATGATATAAACGTGTCGACGATCAGCAAAACCTCTAGTTTTTGCCCCTCTTCTTCGTTCTTTAAAAATGAAGCTAAAAGCAGCACGATGAGGAGTCCGATCATTTTTCACGTTTGACGTGGTCGTGTCGTTGGTGCTGTTCTTGTCGCGTTCCGCGATTTTGTTCCATGTTGTTTTATAACGTCAGAATCAAAAGATGTACGGTCACAGTCACATTCGACGCTCGAGTTTTAATGGCAACTTTGACGACTGAGTACATACAGATTTCGCTTTCGAGTGCGCTCAGGTAGAAAAAAATCGAGCGAAATTTGTTGTTGATTTATCGACATTATGCATGTGCCTCGTGTCAACGATCATACACACATATATATATATGAAAAAGCGGCTACACGCGCGGCATAATTTCAGTGCCACGTCTTTTCGGAATCTCGCAGGATATAGACTGGATCGCGAATTTTCGGATTGTCCTCTGGCCCCGTTCGAAATCTCGCTGTTATGCGAGAATCAAGAAATCGATACTGAGGTATCCCTTTCCAGTCAATTTCGATTAGTCACGGTGAAAAGTTTTCTCGCAGTAATTTCCTCTCTTTCCCGCTGTCACACAGTCGGATAATTAAAGGTCGCAGCACATTCTGTCTCGTTGAGTTTCGCAACGCATCTTGTATTCATTGAGAAAAATTGTCTCCTCAGAGAATTACTGAAAACGAGTTCTCATGTTAGACGTCCGACGGAACGTCTGCGAAACTTCTCGAGGAAAAATGTGCAACATCACTTAACTGTGTGTGTGTGTGTGTGTGTTTGCTTTGTGATATTATCGCGAGACTAGTATATTCCAAAGATTAATGTTTGATTTTTGCAAAAGACACGATCCACAAGACGATAATGAAATCTCTCTCTGTCATGTACGGAGTATGAAACTTTATAACACGAAAATATTGCCACGCTTCCAGATAAACCAGATTTCCACAAAATGTGGAAGATCATCGGTCTTCTAATCGTATCTTTAGCTCTTTCTCACGACGCTCTTAGTTACCAGCTTCACGACGTCAGCGATGGTAAGAATTTGACATACTTTTGCTTTCGGAAAAAATAGTGATGTACGAATTATATTCCTACAAACGACAACGATCGACACGAAGTTGCACCTTGTATCATTGCGCATTACATTTGCCGTTTCACAGAGCATGACGAGATTTTCCAATTGTTGGATATAAACTATCATCGACAAGGCCGGCAACCACAACAGCGCTCCGAGCATCCGTTTAAATGTGTAAAACCTGGCTTCTACCCCGATCCGCGCGACTGCAGATTGTATTATGAGTGCGTGAAATTGGGACATGAACGTAACAATTTCAAGAGACTCGTTCACAAATGTGATTTCGGCAAAGTTTTCTCATACAAAAGCGGCAATACCTGTGTGCAACCTCGGCAAAGTGGGAGAGTGGAGTGCGGCAGCTATTCGCAGCAAATGCAGCGAGAACCAGGTAATTTATAATCCAGGATTTGTCAACGATATATTAGGTAAAACGAGCATCATGGGAGGGCAGAGAGTAACCGAGATACCGAATGATGAGAAGGACATGTCGCGCATGACGGGGTCCAAACATCGAAGAGAAACTGTAGAACAGAAATCTCAGAATGGGATGATGGAATCGAATCCGCCCGAAATGTCGTACGAGGAATATTCGTATGAAGAGAACACATTAAACATAAAACAATATCGGCACAGATAATATAAACTTTGAAAAATATAATATAAAATAAAACTATGGTATGAAAAAAAAAACAAAATAAAAGTAATTGACAACTGATTAAAATTAATTTTTAGACATTCCCAAATGCCAAGAATAATTTTAATATTATTTCTGTATGTATCAATAAAAGAAAATGTAAAAGAGTAATATATCTCATTTTAGGCAGAGATGATCGAAACCCAAATGGGCGGAATAAAAAACCACACTGGGATACATTAGGTATAGACTATTTAATACAAAAGCAATGTACGGAATCATAACAAGAAATTGTATAAAAATTTAATTGCAGGAGAAGAATCTAACAATCCGCAATATCCTAAGAAACATAAACCAGAACACGGAAATAAGGAAAAACAAAACAAAGAGGAAAAGCCATATAAAAAACACAAAAATCGAAAAAACGAATCAAAGAGCAGTAGCGATAGTTGTAGTAGCAGTAGCAGTAGTAGTAGTAGCAGCGAAGAACATCGTATCAAAAGATCAAAGCCGACAACGAAGAAGCAAAGCACCAATGAAGTAGAAGGTACAACACGGGCATTCACTACAGATGGAGACTTTATCCCGATAATACCATCATTACCTGATGAAAAACAATCGATCGAAGAAAGTTCACAAAGCGATAGTAGTTCTAGTGAAGGATCAGAGAGTAGCGAAAGCAAAGAAATCAATGAGAAAAAACAAGATCGTCCAAAAAATAAGCATTCCGGAAATAAAGAAAACAACAAGAATAAATCAAAAAATTCGCATCAATCTAAAGAACGCAAAAAGAAACACGGAAATAAAGAAAAACACAATAAAAAAGATAGGCCAGATAAAAAACACAAAGATCGTAAAGACAAATCAAAGAGCAGCAGCAGTAGCAGTAGTAGTAGTAGCAGCGAAGAACATCGTACTAAAAGACCAAAGCGGACAACAAAAAAACAAAGCTCCAATGAAGTAGAAGATACGACACAGGCATTCACTACAGACGGAGACTTCATCCCGACAATACCATCATTACCTGATGAAAAACAATCAATCGAAGAAAGTTCACAAAGCGATAGTAGTTCAGAAAGCGATAGTAGTTCTAATGAAGGATCAGAGAGTAGCGAAAGCAAAGAAATCAATGGGAAAAAACCAGATCGTCCAAAAAAGAAGCATTCCGGAAGTAAGGAAAACAACAAGCATAAACCTAAAAATTCGCATCAATCTAAGGAACGCAAAAAGGGGCACGGAAGTAAAGAAAAACACAATAAAAAAGATAAGCAAGATAAAGAACATAAAAATAAGTCGGATAAAAAACACAAAAATCGTAAAGACGAATCAAAGAGCAGCAGCAGTAGCAGTAGTAGTAGTAGCAGCGAAGAACATCGTACTAAAAGACCAAAGCGGACAACAAAAAAACAAAGCTCCAATGAAGTAGAAGATACGACACAGGCATTCACTACAGACGGAGACTTCATCCCGACAATACCATCATTACCTGATGAAAAACAATCAATCGAAGAAAGGTCACAAAGGGATAGTAGTTCACAAAGCGATAGTAGTTCTAGTGAAGGATTAGGGAGTAGCGAAAGCAAGGAAATGGACGGGAAAAAACCGAAAGATAAAAAAGGTGACAAAAGTAAGGAGAAGCACAATAAAAAAGATAAACCAGATAAAGAACACAAAGATCATAGCAAAAACTCAAAGAACAGTAGCAGTAGTAGCAGCAGCGAGGAGCATTGGACTAAAAGACCAAAGCCAACAACGAAGAAAGACAGCAGCAATGAAGTAGAAGATACGACACAGGCATTCACTACAGACGGAGACTTCATCCCGACAATACCATCATTGCCTGATGAAAAACAATCAATCGAAGAAAGTTCACAAAGCGATAGTAGTTCAGAAAGCGATAGTAGTTCTAGTGAAGGATCAGAGAGTAGCGAAAGCAAAGAAATCAATGGGAAAAAACCAGATCGTCCAAAAAAGAAGCATTCCGGAAGTAAGGAAAACAACAAGCATAAACCTAAAAATTCGCATCAATCTAAGGAACGCAAAAAGGAACACGAAAGTAAAGAAAAACATAATAAAAAAGATAAGCAAGATAAAGAACATAAAAATAAGTCAGATAAAGAACACAAAAATCGTAAAGACGAATCAAAGAGCAGCAGCAGTAGTAGTAGTAGCAGCAGCGAAGAACATCGTACCAAAAGACCAAAGCGGACGACGAAGAAACAAAGCAGCAATGAAGTAGAGGCTACGACACAGGCATTCGCTACAGACGGAGACTTCATCCCGACAATACCATCATTGTCTGATGAAAAACGATCAATCGATGAAAGTTCACAAAGCGATAGTAGCTCACGAAGCGATAGTAATTCTAGTGAAGGATCAGAGAGTAGCGAAAGCAAAGAAATCAATGGAAAAAAACCAAATCTTCCAAAAAAGAAGCATTCCGGAAGTAATGAAAGCAACGAGCATAAATCTAAAAATTCGCATCAATCTAAGGAACGCAAAAAGGGGCACGGAAGTAAAGAAAAACACAATAAAAAAGATAAGCCAGATGAAAAACACAAAGATAAGCCAGATAAAAAAAACAAAGATAAGCCAGATAAAAAACATAAAGATCGTAAAGACGACTCAAAGAGCAGTAGCAGCAGCAGTAGTAGTAGCAGCAGCGAAGAACATCATACCAAAAGACCAAAGCCAACAACGAAGAAACAAAGCAGCAATGAAGTAGAAGGTACGACACAGGCATTCACTACAGACGGAGACTTCATCCCGACAATACCATCATTACCTGATGAAAAACAATCAATCGAAGAAAGGTCACAAAGGGATAGTAGTTCACAAAGCGATAGTAGTTCTAGTGAAGGATCAGGGAGTAGCGAAAGCAAGGAAATGGACGGGAAAAAACCGAAAGATAAAAAAGGTGACAAAAGTAAGGAGAAGCACAATAAAAAAGATAAACCAGATAAAGAACACAAAGATCATAGCAAAAACTCAAAGAACAGTAGCAGTAGTAGCAGCAGCGAGGAGCATCGGACTAAAAGACCAAAGCCAACAACGAAGAAAGACAACAGCAATGAAGTAGAAGGTACGACATCGGCAATTACTACAGAAAAAGACTTTGTTCCGACAACACCCACAATACCCAATGAGACACTCACTACTACAGAAAAACCAAAAGGCGGAGAAAGTGATGAATCTGAAAGTACTAATCCACAAGCTTCCAAGGAAGAAATTCAAAACGATGAAAATGGCCATTCTGAGGTGACTACGCCGCATATGCCAACCACAGAACACTCTGAAAACGAAGAAAAGGTTGAAACAACAAAATGCACCTCACCTGGTTTCTTTCCAGATCTAAATGATTGCATGAAATATTATAGATGCGTTGATATGGGGAACAATAGATATCAAAAATATGAATTTGTATGTCCGCCTGGTACTCTGTGGGATCAAGATATGCTAACGTGTAATTATTTGACACATATCAAACGGTTATCATGCAAAAATCAGGACACAAATCCTTCAGAACAAAGTACTGTAACCAAAAATCAAGAAGATACAACTATTCCGTACAATCCCACTCAAGGAGGTGAAAGTAAAGAAACTGGTGATTCCAAAATAACTACACCTCATATTTCCAAGGAAGGAAGTGATAGCAATGAGAATGGACAATCTGAAAAGATTACGCCGAAGGTACCATCCGAAGGAAATAGCGAAGAACATGGAGAGATTGAAACTACATCAACAGATAGTTCACAGAATGAAAATCAAAGTCGCGAAAGGAGCGAAGCGGAAGGAAGCACGCCGTTAGCGCCATCCAAGGAGATTACTGACAGCAATGAAAGCTCTGAGATTAAAATAACAACTCCGCATGTTTCCAAACAAGAAGTTGGTAGCAAAGAAATCGAAGATTCTAAAAAAACAACGCCGCAGGTACTACCCAAGGAAAGTTCTGAAAGTAAGGAAAGTTCCGAGACTGAAATCACCACACTACGTAATTCCAACGAAGAAAGTCGAGAGAAGAATCCCGAAAGGGGTGAGTCGCAAGTGACAACAACGCAAGTACCAACTAAACCCACTGATGAAAGCAGAATAATAATGGACAGTCAAGCCAAATGTAGTTCTGAAGGATATTTCCCAGATAATAAAAATTGCAAGAAATATTATAAGTGCGAGAAAGTAGGATCGCAATCATTCAAAAAACATACATTAATATGTCCTAAGGGAACACTTTGGGATCTAGACGTATCAATGTGCAATCCTGCCGAATCTGTAAAACGGTCATGCAAAAATAAGGAAATTGATAATTCCAAAGAATCCAAAGAAATCGGTGACAAGGAAAAGAAAACTACCCCACATGAATCTAATCAAGAAAATGGAGAATCAAAAGTGACTACGCCGCAAGTACCAACTAAAGGAAGCTCTGAAAACAAAGGAAGTTCCGAGACTGAAATCACAACACCAAGTAATGCAACGGAAGAAGGTCAAAACCGCGAAAAAGGCGAATCGCAAGAGAGCACGCCACAAGTGCCATCCAGGGAGAGCATCGAGAGCAACGAAAGCTCTGAGTCTGAAATAAAAACTCCGCATGCTTCGAAGGAAGAAGGAGGTAATCAAGAAAGTGGGGAATCTGGAAAAACTACGCCAAAGGTACCACATAAAGGAAGCTCTGAAAACAACGGAAGTTCCGAGACTAAAACCACAACACCAAGTAATGCAACGGAAGAAGGTCAAAACCGCGAAAGTAGCGAATCGCAAGGCAGCACACCACAAGTGCCATCCAGGGAGAGCATCGAGAGCAACGAAAGCTCTGACTCTGAAATAACAATTCCGCATGCTTCGAACGAAGAAGGTGGTAAGAAAGAAAGTAAGGAATCTGGAAAAACTACGCCAAAGGTACCACCTAAAGAAAGCTCTGAAAACAAAGGAAGTTCCGAAACTGAAACTACAACACCAAATAATGCAACGGAAGAAGGCCAAAACCGCGAAAGTGGCGAATCGCAAGCCAGCACACCACAAGTGCCATCCAGGGAGAGCATCGAGAGCAACGAAAGCTCTGAGTCAGAAATAAAACCTCCGCATGCTTCGGACGAAGAAGCTGGTAACAAAGAAAGTGAAGAATCTGGAAAAACTACGCCAAAAGTACCACCTAAAGGAAGCTATGAAAACAAGGGAAGTTCCGAGAATGAAATCACAACACCAAGTAATTCAACGGAAGAAGGTCAAAACCACGAAAGTAACGAATCGCAAGCGAGCACCCCACAAGTGCCATCCAGGGAGAGCATCGAGAGCAACGAAAGCTCTGAGTCTGAAATAACAATTCCGCATGCTTCGAACGAAGAAGGTGGTAAGAAAGAAAGTGAGGAATCTGGAAAAACTACGCCAAAAATACCACCTAAAGAAAGCTCTGAAAACAAGGGAAGTTCCGAGATTGAAATAACAACACCAAGTAATTCAACAGAAGAAGGTCAAAACCACGAAAGTAACGAATCGCAAGGGAGCACCCCACAAGTGCCATCCAGGGAGAGCATCGAG